TGAAGCGAATCCGCTAGTTTTCAATATCAAACACGCGCGAAATTTTATTGCCTGCTTAAACAATCGCGTTCGCAACCGCTTTGCGAACATGGTTCAGCCTCTAATGCGAATATGACGTAAGGGTCCCGATCTGAGTACACCAGGGAGAAGAGGAGCTCCGGAGATGTTCACCCCACGGAAAAGTGCTGAGAGGCTGCATTCACCAAGATTTGTTTTTTATGTCCACTGCACGAAATACTCATGCCTTTATTTAGGAATCAGCGTAGCAGCATGAAGGGTTTTGGCCCAATTTGTTTTCTACATAAAAATATCAAGACCATTCATGTGGTGACCAAATTTTGAACCGCACCAGCTGATCTTGACAGCCCCCCGGCAGCAGCAATGACACTTCCCCGGTTCAAAGTGAGTGAGTCTGCGTAGCCTGTACCGAACGGGATTGCAACTGAAGCCTGGTTGGACGGGAGGTTTCGAGGCACTGTTCTAACTCCCGACCAAACTGACCGTTGGCGACGCTGAAATCAGCTCGTGTGCGTGTTCGCGAAGCGATACTACCACGCGCAGTTCGCACGGGAGAATCACCAAAACTACTGCAGTGCGTGGCAGCGAGTTTTATTTAATAACTATCCGTATCTGCTCTCCGTATTAAACGCGATATGACGTTTGGTGCTGGGATATCATATTAATTAGTTTAATCAGCATAAGCCGTGCTGATTAAACTAATCAACATTAATTAGTTTAATCAACATAAGTTAGTCACACTGTTTTATATTTGTATTTGATATGTGCATGTTTCGCGTTGAGCTAAACCTTTAGTTTGTGTTAGCTATTACAACTACACCTTCCAAGTCAATTATCTCTACTACGTCGGAAGGAAGAAAAGAAAGAAACAACTGAAAAAGGTCTGCATCAGGCATCATCTGTGATTCAACCTTGTTCTTGACGACAGTCAAAGTAGGTACACCAACTAAGTCAGGGACAAACAGCCTATTACAATTTACTCCGGCAGTATCGACAACCTTTGTGCATGGACATCATGCTCGTACACAAGCGGCAGTCAGCTGTACCTTTTGACGACGACAGAAATTATATGCCATCTGCCTGTACTCGTGTTCACATCCAGACACTAATTCCCCCACCTCATCCCTCTGCTCCCTTCCACTCCCTTTCTCTTACCATTCCTTTCCCCTTTTAGCAATGGCTTCTAGCAGATAACCCAGTATTTCGAGCATTACAAAAAATTAAAAGTAAAGAATTGCGCCAATTCCTTTTTTGTCTTCTAGGCCTGAGTGTTTTTGAACACGATGTAAGATAAAAATGTCAAAAGAAGGCAAGAAAAGAGGTCGAAATTTTAACTTGAGCTTCGCGCATCTTTCGTCAAGGGAACTCTCGGGGTGTGACTCACCGCGCAGGCGCAGTCTCGTGCCACGCGGCCTTCGCGCATGCGCGCTCGGGCGATTCGCGGCCTTGACAACGTGCGCGCGAATAAGAAGGTTTCCTGGTGCTCTTGTCATGCTGCGCCATCTCACGGTGTTCTTCAGAAATGGGAGCGAAATCCCCCACACACTTGCTCTTTGGCAAAGCGGCGCCGTTCAATCGCCTCTCTTTTTTTTTCATGGTACCGCCAAGTGCCCATGCGCAAGGAAAAACAACAGTATCCCGTTTTTCTTTTTCCATGTCTTGCACACTAAATGTGTCAAGAACCGAGGTACGGCACACTATGCTGCACACGAACTAAACACAAATCGCACTTCATCCAGGTATTATCCCGATCAATTTAGTGCAATAATACAGCTGATAAACTATTCAGCTAAATTCAACCGAGAAAGTATACCGTTAAACGTCACGGTATGGCGCGACACACAATATTGCCACTTGACAATGCGGCGTCCCTTGACACTCACGTCACGCTACGTGACACCGTTATGTCAAGTGACGTGGTGATGTGAGGTTTCGTCAAGTGACATCGCGAGTCGTCACGAGAAACTGGGCCGTCACGTCACATTGTGATGTTACGAGACACCGTTACATCAAGTAACTTCACGGCGTGTAATACAGTGACGTCACTTTAGACTGTGAGGTCACGTGCTACACCTCCGCGGAACCGCTGAAAAACCTGTCCCATAAGAATTGTTGTCGAGGAAAAGAAAAAAACACTATGGAGACGTTTTTCGGGTCACAGGTAATTTCGTGTTGTCGAAGAGCAGAATATGTTGTTTCTTTATCCTACTTCGACCTGGTCAAGCGAATTGCAACCAGAAGCGGGATTACTCGCGCACGGTGTCACTTGCCAGAAGCATCTAAGAGTTCGACCGACGGATGTCACGGGGGTACCGGAGCATTTCCTCTTCATTATCCGAATTGCCGAAGTGGAATTTCACGGGGATTAGAGTGCCAAACAAAGTTCAGGTTAATTATCCTTCGTTCCATTCGAGCTGTCCCAAAGAGAACGCTTCCCTAAATAGCATCACGCCCCATAGAGGCCGTTGTTGTCATTCGAGCAAAGCACATTGTGTAGAATGTGCCTCTTTATGTCTTTTGAGATTAGTTGTCCCCGCGTCTCTTATAAAGTTGTTTTTATCGTCCTCAGCAAAGCGTAGGTTGTTGCGTATGCCCTTTACGACGGAGACACTTTTTGACAACAGCAGTGCGAGCTGAACTCGGATCGCTCTATTGAACCTGACAGCCATCGGTTATGATTCAACACCTTTTTACCAAATATTCCGAGCATCTAAGCAAAAAACGTGGCAAGGGCGAAGATTTTCTCCGTCTTGGAAGCTCAGCGCATCTCTTTAAATTCGAGGCACGTTCATTGCCTGTAAATGGGAGCTCAGAAGGAAAGCTTACTTGCAAAGAAGTGTAATAGTTGTCGAGTTAAAACTGAAGAATTCGGCAGAAGCGAACAAAAATAATAGGCGAAAGAAAAACAGCGCTATGTTATTCCTTTAACCCGCGGTGTTGTGTTATACTGGGAAAATAGTGTTGTTTTGTTTCCACACTTCGTTTGTTGAATTATGTTCCTAAAAAACAAAACATCCTTGGCTTCGGCCAACAGGATACAACCTAAAGTACCTGTCTTGCGCGTACTTTGTTTTACAGAGAAGCTGTTTATGGCTAGGATTCTGTGAATTTTTCATTTGCGTAAACAAAACTCAGGACCGAACTTGATGCAAAATCTCTTCACTCTATGCAAATGCTTATGCGTCTCATCACTTGGATATGCATTTTCAGTACATGACTTATCAATAGCCACCATTTTCAAGATCAGTAGATTCTCAGGGAGACAATTTAGGTTTCTCAAATATTTCCACCTCTGCGACCCGCGTCGGCCATGTCTACGCTCGCACCACCCTCTCTTTGTCGTCGTTCTAAGCCCCCACTGGCGTGCCTAGTTTCTTTTCCTTCCGCTCTCCCGGGTCCCATCGAGCGCGTCTATTTTCAGCCGGGCGGTGGTCACGTCGCGCGTGTCTAGTTTCCGCCGGCTCTGCGGGGCGGGTCTGTGCCGTGTGCTAAACTGCTTCGCTCGTCATCAACCATCGCAGAGTGGAATGGCTCATGATTTTTTTTTCTTACCGATACTCAACTTTTACGATTTTTTTTCGGCATAGCCTTAGTGCCGTTGAATCGCAGTAAATATGTATGTCTCTGCATCTACCGAAAATATCATGTTCGTCAAATCACGTGACGCCATGACTTGCGAGTTAATCTAAACGCAGCACTATGGTCGCTGAGAGGATAAGAAATTCAGGGCGTTTCGTTCCTGCAGTGACCGGCCTCCAGCACGGCAGAAGCCTCTGTCTTCCGCCGTACTTCGAATGCGCGCGCACGCTCGAGGGCCACGAGAAGCGGGAGCGTAATCGTAGATATAAAGCCCCCGTTGGAGGCGGGACAATAAAGCTCCTCTCACGGCTTCCCACGCTGTCAGTTACTGGGCTCACTGAATTTAGTTGCGCTAGCCTGTACACATTCAGAAAGGTGCTGCGCGGTGCAGAAAAGTGCAAAGCGTGTACTTCCATTTTTTATATATATATAGGGTGCTTTTACAAGCCAAATATGACCGCACGTTAACCGAGGGCAGCTGGTGCAAGTGGTGAGGGTAAAGTGACTGAACCTACTACAGAGAAGACGATCTGAGCAAAAACCCGAGTGTGGTCCCTTAATGTAAACTAGGAAGGTAATACTTAAATGTAGCCTGCGATACGGCAGATATATACTAATATCACTAAAAAAGCCCAATTCATTTTTGCAGCCGTAGCTGTCATCAGCTCTTCTTCCACTTGAAATGACATAAGCAGTCCGTGGTGGATATCGCCAAGAGACGTTACGATATCACAAAAGTCACATGACGCCATGATGTCATGTGACGTCATTTTGTCATGCGACGACATCACGTGACACCGTACATATAATTTTTGAATTGTTATAGTTGACTGCGTCACTTTCCCAACTGATATAGGCAATGGTTCCTTCATGCAAGGTGAAAGATAGTGTAAAAGTTAAAGATACACATTAGGAAGTGATAAATTGTCACAACTTTCGATGTTCCTACTGTGGATTCACACGCGATTGCTAATTTCTTATAAGGCTAAGGGCTAATCGTATAATTTGAAAGGAAACTGCGTTATCCAAAGGAGCTAATTACGGCGCTCTTCGTTTCGAAAAAACACCCTAAACAAGTAATTTAATCTTGTATTTTTTAACAAGTTCATTATTCCGCTGAATTAAATGCTACGGGCGCCCACATTACAATTTCTGGGTTTGACCAAATTTAGCCTTAGTTGGGGAACATCAGTTCGTAGAGACATTCTGTTTTGTCTTATAATTTGATCCAGGATATGTTATGTTCCCGAAATGTTGGATTTTATCACCGTCGCCAGGGTTATATTCTCACGGAGTTTAAGCTTTGTTCTACAACGCGTGCTTTATTTATAAGGGCCACAAAAATACGCTTTCATTTTCTCTTACGGACCCGGTAGCTGTAGTCCGAAGTAGGCGAAACGCACCTCGTTTGTCGAAGCCGTAGACGTAGTCCGGGCAGTTGACCTGGGCCATGGTCCCTGCAGGAGCTGGTTGCCAGCATAGGATTCCGTCCCAGACGCCGGGACATGTCGGGAGTCCTGCGTACGCACGCATGCAGGATTATTCGAGGCAACAATGTTGTTGCGAGACACAAGAAACGCTGTGCACGTTGCATTCTCGGCATCATATGATCGCTCTGCAGTCAATCAAACTGTGACATTAGCCGATACTATGGCGCCTGGAACGCGTCTCCGACTGGTGCGTTTACCGCGTCCAAGAAAAGTAGGTCCTCGATTTCCGACTGATGACGTCATAGAAGTGTCGCGCTGTCGACGGTCCCGATCCTGGCGGCGTCCCAGCAAGGTTGGTCGATGTGGCAGACGACTGTTCTTCTGCAGGTCACTCTCCAGTGTGGCAGCCCGCGGAAGTTTCGGCAATCAGAAGTTGGGACGCTGCGACGAGAGCGGCACTCGCGTTCGATCGTGATTTGCGCCAGCATTTCTACGGTCAACCGCTAGGATTGCGACATCCGAGAGCGTGACACTCCGGCTTTGATAACGTAACTTGTTGCCGCTTTGGGACCACTTCCGATGTATGGGTGGGATACGGCGCTAAAAACACCAGTGGGAGATGCGATCCAGGCACCATATCGATACAAAAAACAAACGAATCATAAGAAAAGCAACAAAAAAAAACAAAAAAAAAACACACACATGTAATTAAAAATAAGGTCCTCCGTTCCTTACCCTAGCGGTGGCTAGAATAATGTAATAACTCACGGTTTACAAAAAAAAAAAAATAGGAGGGCTTTGTTTAGTTACTGGACAGAAGCGGCGAAGGACAGTGACAAAGTGAAGGAGGTAACGACAACACGGAGCGTTGCCTCCTTCACTTCGTCCCTGTCCTTCGTCGCTTCTATCCAGACATGAACCAACTAGCCCAAACGAACGTTTTGTTAGCTTAGCGCGTTCACGCTTGTCTCTTCGCGATTCATTCCTCGCCGTTCTTATCGTTATTGCTGCAATTTCACCGGCTGCTAAGCGGTTGCTTATCGAGGAAAACTATATGTATACATACGACCGATATCCCATAATAACATTTGAAGGACCCGCATAAAAAAGAATAGGTAGTTATTTTATTTGTACACGTCACAAGTTAAAGTGGCTCAAAACAAGTTCCCATACTTGTTCGTACGTGATAAACGTATAAAATGCGTAATGTTGTTGGCTCCGGTACGCCACATCCATTAAAATGAAAGTTCGCTAATCGTAAAAGTATTGAAGATAAATTTATAAACAAATTTAATAAATGTGCCCTCTCAGAGGCAAAATATGATAGGCAACCATAGCCGGAGATAAATTGGCTTCTGTGTTTTTCTTTAGGCGGGATATTATATGATATATCAGAGGCCTACCAGGCCTAAGAGCCGCAAACGAAACCACGAAACTTCTAAGAGCCACGGGGGGGTGGGGGGGGGGGGGCAAGTGAAAATTTTGTTCAGAGTCTGACTGTACGTATGAGTGCACAAGGCTGTACGACAGTACGTATGGAGGTACAAGGCTGCCACACCGCGAGGCGTACTTCATTCTCCCTGAAATCCCTTCTTTTTTCCTGGGGAAATGCGGGAAGGGGGGGGGGGGGGGGAGGGTCCCCTTACGAGGGATCCGCGAGCCGCACTTGGACCAGCAAAGAGCCGCATGCGGCTCGCGAGCCGCGGTTTGGCCACCCTTCTGACACATGGTTCTTTCTTATGATAATCTGGGATATGGGTCGTATAGGTCATTTTTCTCTTTCAATGGGGTAATAGAGGATGTTCCTTCAAAATAAACCCAATTAACGTAAATACACAGGTATATGAACGACACATTCAAGGACAAACTGCCTCTATACTTGCACTTTTTTGTCTCGTTATTCTGAACAAGCCACATTATGTACGATTTTTGGGAGAACGGAGTTATTCGTATATGAAGAAACGTCAGTGTAAAACGCTCAGGCATCCTCAAGCCCAGCGTCAAGCTGATATCTAATATAGTTGAGCATATTCCCATAAAACGTATCACTCATTAGAACTATAATTTTAACCGAACTATATTTAGGCCCAATATTTTGCGAAATAAATAAAGATAAACATTAAAACGCTTTCAAATTAGTGTAAGCGTCAAATAATGCTTAAGGTTTAATCTCTCTCGAGCTATGAGAGAGTGGAATGGGTTCCTCGATGTCGCTTTTGAGAAACACACATTTTCGTTGTAGACAACAGGTATGAAAAGGTAAGTATAAATTCAATTTCTGAAGTATTCTTGCTATGCGGACAACGGTAGTCGTAAGCGTTTTCAAAGGAATACTGATGTGTAAATATAAATATACAAAAACAAAACACGCTTTGAAATAACTCATATACCGTTAGCAAAAGCAGGAAAGCCTATTACCGCCATTATATATTTTTCGCGTTAATGAATATTTTTATTCGATATTCACAACCTGGTTACACTTCAAGTGCAGCCAACCAGTTGCGGAAGGAGTCTTGGGATAATTCCTTCCGTTTGCCGCCTCAGTAAGCAGGCCTAGAGGAGTTACAAGCTTTTAGGTGGCCGCACTACGTAGAGTCCGCATGTCCCTGTCAAAATAATGGCAGCATAAGCGATATTTTTTTCATTAGTGCTCAAGTGGGATCTCATTGAAAAGTGGGACGGATTCACGACCATTTCCTTGCCTCATCTGTTTTACTTTACTTTTTCAATCATTTCACTTTCAAAACTGTTTCTTTTTTTACGACCATCTTTAAAAAAAAGAAAAAGAAAAAAAAAACACAACCCGCTACACAATCATCTGGGCGTCAGTGCTTAGGCATCTTAAAACTGTGCTTTGGTGTGCGGTATTGCTCTTCAGTACGGCTGTGGAGTACGTGGGTACAGCGCTGACTCTGGAGTCTAAATGTTGGTTTACGCAATGCCTGAAATGTGGCGGAAACCACGGACTTCATTTTAGGGGCATGTCCGTGACTTACCCCGAATTTAAGATCTAGCCCTTCCTTTCAGCCTTTTTTAACCATGCGCAAGGAAAGAGAATAGCTTCACTTAAGGAAATACTTTACTGGGGGGACTACATTCCACCCCTCTCAAATACAATAGCCTCGGCGTGGACAGGTTTTCTGGGCTTGGCTGAGCCAACTATCGTCGGGGAGGTCTCATCTATCGCGCGGTAAATGAGGATGATGACGATGGTCCTTCTACATACCAAATTCATTGTTGTGGAAATGCTCGAGACACGTGCCGCGCGCCACTTTTAGGAAGAACATGGCGTCTAAGATCTAGCTCAGTGCTGCTACAGTGTAGTGCTGCGCCTGCTGCGCCAAATACTTTGCTGCGCTGTGCCGCCATGATCTTCCCAAGTAGTGCACGTCAATGCACGAGGCACGTTGCACGTGCCTCGATCATTGACGCATCTTACGCTACTTTTGAAACATGGAAGGCCTTTAGGTGGAATCGAAGACGACGCCGTCTCGGCCGCCGCGAACATCCAGGTGCACATGCGCGTGCACTGACGCGGACCTCCCCTCCGTCAGGGTTGGATTCGGCACTGTAGGTGGTCTGTCTAATGCAAAGGAGCGGAGTGGAATGTATTCCACCTAGTAAAGTATTTGACTTAATGAAAGGTGCCATTTCAATTCAAGAACCCGCTTCACACTTCCCTTAGGTAACGAGCAGGAGAAATACTTCTTCGTTGAGTAAGGGAAGTATAAACGAATCTGGGGTCGAGATTAAAATTCAGTTTGGTCCGAGCATGCATCCATGAATAATATTGAATATTTTCTTACCAATCATTCTGGATGCATTTCAGGACGCCACACAGCTAAAACTAGGAATGACGAATAAATATGACGAAGATTAATCCCTGGAGAAGGGGCGCAAGAAGCACAAACGACAAACACATATCTCCAAACACAACAAGGTGACTGGAAGGCGACCGAAAAAATCCGCCTCGTTTGGGTATCGAACCCGGGACCTCTCCCCTTCCAGTGGAGCGCTCTTCCAACTGAGCTAACCAGGGGTTCTACGTCAGTACACCAAACGTGTTTTATCAGCTGCCACCAGTCTAACACCAGCAAGGGTGAAAGGCTTGCATTTGAACCTTATGATTATAATGCAAATGAATGCAAAGGTGCAAGCGAGCTGAGCAAAAATGACGAAAATGATCCCTGGAGTGTTTGTCCTTTTTCCTTCTTGTTCCCCTTCTCCAGTGATCATTTTCGTCATTCTTGTCCAGCTCGCTTGCACTTTTGCATTTATTTGCATTATAATCAGAATAAACATTGCGCGTATTTTGACCTTCCATTAGGTGCGTCGCCTTCTCGTCTGGCCACGACTCGTTATTTGTTCGCGAGTTTAACAGCTCCGTTCAACGTTGCTAAAACACTCAGTAGCGAAGCTCACCCTTGAAACCCGGACTGCTCGCATCCACCGAGACCAAAGTAAATATGATAAGAGCACCACCCTTTAGCGACTAGTCAAAACTTGAAAGTTCAGATCTATTGCTACGGCGAAAATGCACTGCGAGATGGCGCCACCGACCCTTGCGCGACTCGTCCTGAACCGATACGTGCAGGCGTGCAGTTCCCGGAGTGGCCTCTGCGGGAGAAACGGTGGTGTTGCGATCTCATAGGCAACCGGCAATACAGTTTGACGCTACACGTTGCGCCAACTAGCGGCTGCAAAATAAGAATAATTTGGAAGGCCAGGACGACGTGGGTCGCGGGACTGCTGGCGGGAGTTTCAAGAAACCACGTGTGAACGTGGCATATCGAATCAAGATGAGCCTTATTGGAACCGCTTTTCGTAAAAGTAAGTCTCAACTTCCCGTCTATGTGACCTTACCGGGTTCCTGTTGCATCCCGCCCTACTCCTAGAGTTCCCCCCAAAATAAACGTTAATACTGCTGCGTGAAAGACGGCCACAGTAGCGAAGGTGACTCAAGCGTCAATATTTACCGCTTCCCTTCGAGATCTTGGGAAGCGACACGGCGACAGAAGTGGATTACTGCAGTGCGACGCATCAAGCAAGTGAATTTTACTTTAATTGTTGAAGTGAACGAAAATATA